GGTAGAGTGCTGTAGCATCACAGCTCACAGCAACCTCCAACTCCTGGGCTCAAGCGAGTCTCCTGCCTCAGCCTCCCAAGTAGCTGGGACTACAGGCGTCCGCCACAACGCCTGGCAATTTTTTCGTTGCAGCTGTCATTGTTGTTTGATGGGTCCAGGCTGGATTTGAACCCACCAGCTCAGGTGTGTGTGACTGGCGCCTTAGCCGCTTGAGCCACAGGCGCCGAGCCTTAATCATGTGGCTGTGTTAACTATTCAAAAAATTAAGAAGGGATGGTGCCCGTAGATCAGTGGGTAGGGCGCTGGCCACATACATCCAGGCTGGTAGGTTCAAACCCAGTCCGGGCCAGCTAAACAACAAAGACAACTGCAACAAAAAACTAGCTAGGTATTGTGGTAGGTGCCTATAATCCCAGCTACTTGGGAGGCTGAGGCAAGAGAATAGCTTAAGCCTAAGAGTTTGAGTTTGCTGTGAGCTGTGATGCCACAGCACTCCACTGAGGGTGACATAGTGAGACTGTCTCAAAAAAAAAAAGAAAAAAAAATTAAGAGGAACAAAATAGTGTGGCCAAGGGCTTCAGGTCCATCTTCCTAGAGGCTCATGGGATTGGCAGTCCAGTGTCAGAATTGCCCTCCCTTGGGGTTAACCTGGACAATATAGGAAAGAAGGAAAGGGAGGTAGGAGAGGGAATCCGAGGGATGAAGTGCACTGGGTGACTCCTCACAAGGCAGGTCTTTGCCCTGATGGTCTGACTCTCTGGCGCCCCTGCTGGGTGTATGCAAACACTGCCCTACTTAGGTCAGCTCTCATGTGGGCAGCTCAAGGCTAATCATCCTTCTCTGAAGGGCTAACTTGGCTCACAACAGCCACAGCAACCCAGGCCTCACAGCAACCTAGGCATGCTCAGAGAACATCTTTCTTTTGTCCTGCAGGTGGACATGGGGCTTTACCTGGACCGTCCCACCATTCAGCACAGTGAAGTCGTCGTTATCAGTACTAAGCAGAGCCAACTCTTGCCCAGGGCAGCCCATGCATACTGTGAAGAAGGGAAAAAGTGAGTATTAGGACGGGGATGGTGGGCTTCTGGAAGTTACGACAGGGGAGACAAGACCTGGCAAGCACCAGGGGGCTGCAGACAGATGACTTGGCTTACATTCTCTAACCAGCAGTGTGACCAATGCAAGAGTCAGACGGGGCTTCTATCTTTGGTCCTTAAGAGGGAGGACCACCTTATAGTCAGATTGTGAGTCAGATCCCTTTGTTCATGAGGCCAGAGAACCAAGATCATAGATATTCACTGACATGAGCACCAGGTGGCCTCAGGAGACATAGGGTTGGCTCAAGGTTATAGCTAGAAGCAGACAATTTTCTGAAGGCCCTGAGTCTATCTATGCAAAATACACATCTTATCCCACTGTGACCCCTCAGATAACTCTGAAGAACCTTCGATTGCTTCAGTTTGTCAGGCTCCTTCTGAATCTCTCCTGCCTGACTACCCTAAAACAGGCGCTCTGAATTAATAACTACCATTCACTAGACAGAGAGACTGGGCCCATTTCATTTTTATAACTACCCAAGCAGTTCCTTTTCAAAGACAAGAGATCAGGTTCAAAAGCCAGGTCTTCGTGACTCCAAGACACACTAGAAAGTATTCCCAACCAGGGTTCTTACCCTGTCCCTCCTTGTAGCCAAAGCATGAAATCAGGGAGCCTGCCAGGACCCACACACCCTGGGCTCTGCCCAAGTGCTCACATTTGCCAGGCTGCAGTTTAAACAGGACTACAAGGTCAGTACTGTGCCTGGCCATAGAAACATCAGGATGAAGGTCCCCAACTCTCTTTTTGGAAAGGCTGCCCTTTAGTCTCAGATTATTATTTTATTTAAAAATAATCTTTTTGGGCTCGGCGCCTATAGCTCAACCGGCTAATGCGCCAGCCACGTACACCTAAGGTGGTGGGTTTGAATCCCCAGCCCGGACCCGCCAAACAACAATGATGGCTGCAACCAAAAAATAGCCGGGTGTTGTGGCGGGCGCCTGTAGTCCCAGCTACTTGGGAGG